GCAAGGAGGAGTGCTGCAAGACCGGCCGCCTGACGACTTCGTGGACGGAGGAGGACGTCAACGACAACACGCTTTTTAAGTGGATGATATTTAATGGGGGAGCTCCAAACTGCATCCCGTGCAAAGGTGAGGGGGTGCTGGCGAGCTGCTCTTCGCTGGGAAGCGGTGCAGGCAGGGACTGGGCTGGGGGAGGAGGAGTTGGGAAGGAAAGGAGGGGGGAGTGAGGGGGGCAGCGCGGTCTCCTCCCGCCTCCTTCTTCGCTGGGGCTTTGAGAGGCGTCTCCTACTGGCCCCGGGATGAGTGAGGGGACCCCATCTCTTCTTGGCCGCCGGGAGGAGGGGAGCGACCTCCTCTTTCCCGCCCGGCGCCCCAGCCCTCAGGGGCAGGGGCAGTGGCAGTTTCCCTCGAGTGGTGTTTCCCAGAGGGGGGTGGGGGGTAGGTGTTTGTCTCTGTGCTCTGGGGTCACAGTGTCTTTTTTTTCTTCAAGCAGTTTTGACACCAGGTCTGTTCTGCACGCTTGGTACTAAAGTGGTGCCTCTTTCCTTCCATCAGAAACATGCGAGAATGTGGACTGTGGACCCGGGAAGAAATGTAAAATGAACAAGAAGAACAAACCTCGGTGTGTTTGTGCTCCGGATTGCTCTAATATCACTTGGAAGGGTCCCGTGTGTGGCTTAGATGGGAAAACCTACAGGAACGAGTGTGCCCTTCTCAAAGCCAGATGTAAAGAACAGCCCGAACTTGAAGTCCAGTATCAGGGCAAATGCAAAAGTAGGTTTGCAAATCTAATCCCATCTCCCTCAAATGCCAAAGGTTGTGTGTCTGAGTGTAGGGAGGAGGAGCTGTTGGATGTACTTCCCCACAGGAACCAGAGTGATGTTCCTAATGCTGGGAGACAGTAGCTAAACCATGCTCAGCAGACAAGGCCCTAGCTGGATTGAGGGTTCCCCACAGTCTAGCTGCACTTGCATCCCACCAACTGCCCTGGGTTGGGAAAGTTCCCTTCAGCTGCCCTTAAATGGCAAGAGCCAATAAACGCTTCTATCTGATCATTTGTTTCATTGCGTCACCTTTTTACTCCACAGTAGGGCTCTGGGATCTCATATTAAACACTCTGTGTTTCCGTTTTTGTTTCAGAGACTTGTAGGGATGTTTTATGCCCCGGCAGCTCCACCTGTGTGGTTGACCAAACTAACAATGCCTACTGTGTGACATGTAATCGAATTTGCCCAGAGCCTACCTCCCCTGAACAGTATCTCTGCGGGAATGACGGCATCACTTACGCCAGCGCCTGCCACCTGAGGAAAGCTACTTGCCTGCTGGGCAGATCCATTGGATTAGCCTACGAAGGAAAATGCATCAGTAGGTATTTCGGTAGGAGGGTAAGGGTGGGGGGAGCTTCCTTGGTCAGTGGTTTCAGAGTATCATGTCTGCAATTGGGTGGGTGTAGTGAGCACTGGGGAGGAGGAGAGGCTTCCAACAGCCTGGATTAGTGCTTCCCGCTGGGAGGAGGAGAGCCAGGGTGAACATTGCCCCAGAAAAGGCTGCGGAAGGGGTGAGGGAGTAGAGGGGCTGATGCTGCTTCTCTTGCTATCACTGTGGGTGCTGACATTAGTATCCAAGGGAGAAGTAGCCGCCATTAAATAGATGATGATATGGTTACAGTGTAACAAGGTCTCGATATTCAGTGGATCTGGATTCCTGGAAACAATTGTCTTCAAGTGGTCTTGGCAAAGCTTGCGTTAACTTAATTGGAAACATCTGATCACTTTTCCCTCTTTAGAAATAATGCAGAGTTTGGAGACAGTTGGTGGGTGAAGATAGGAAAATAATCTCTGTGCATCCTGACATTTTGTACTGTGATTCCCAGAAAGGACTGATAGTGAAGCGTGTTATGAGGAAGCACCTTCAGAGCAGCCTCTGCTCCCCAAAACTGATGGGGAGATTTGGGGGAGGCTGCTTTTAGTTGGCAAAAGTTGAGGTGAATTCCCTTTCCAGTCTTTTAGACAACTACTCTGTGTGGGTTAGTTTAAAAATAATTGATTTAGAAATGCTGAATGTGTTGACAAATTCTGCGCTTACCACTAATTTGGAGAGCTGAATTTCCACAGACATCAAACAGAGCAGGAAAGTCATGTACAATAGGCAAATGGAATTCTGTATTCCCAGGGCCAAGCTCTGCTGGCACAGCTGTCTTTCCTCCCCCACATATAGACAGGCAATGGTGTCCAAGGGACTACTTGCTTGAGCAAAATCAGCAAGTATCATAATATCTACTGCATCTGAGCTTTGTCTATTCACAGTTTACAGGGGAAAAGGGAGTTTGGGGATGTTTGTTGTTGCTTTTCTTTTTTCTTTGGTTTTTCACTTACCTCTTGTATCCTGTGTGTATTTTTAGAAGCCAAATCCTGTGAAGACATTCAGTGCAGTGCTGGGAAGAAGTGCTTGTGGGATTTTAAGGTTGGCAGAGGTCGGTGCGCCCTCTGCGATGAGCTATGCCCTGAAAGCAAGTCAGACGAGGCAGTCTGTGCCAGCGATAACACCACTTACCCAAGTGAGTGTGCCATGAAAGAGGCAGCCTGCTCCATGGGTGTGCTTCTAGAAGTAAAGCACTCTGGATCTTGCAACTGTAAGTGAGATTTTTAACTCTGCAGACACTTAAAGCTTCTGAAGGCAATCCCTAGGTACTGAAGACTTACGCCTTTAAACATAAGAAAGCTCGACTTGGAGATTTGAGATACAGCACAGGTGACATATACGTATGTACCTATCATGCACACACTTTGGTTACTGATTAAATGCAATAGATCAACAACCAGCTGACCTTCAAGTTGGGTTTTTTGGGGATATTCAAAGGACAAGTCATTCTGTCAGAAAGGGGTTGCCCTAAGAATGTAATTCTAGTGATTTTTTTTTTCCTACTTTGTCTGCTCTCGTGTGCTTCGCTGATTGCTTTATTAACGCCCTGATAAACTCTTAACTCGGTCCAAAAGAACAAGCCTAATGGTAGCACATGGGCATCTGGTTGAGCACAGTTGCCTCTTCTAACTCTGAATGAAGGACACAAAACAATTAAACCTAGAACGCAAGAGCGCTTTCCATTTGATTTCAGGAATCTGCCAATAAAACCTGAGCCATTGATTCTTCAGAACTTTCTGCAGTTTTGACTTCATAGATTACGTATAAAAAACCTTATTGCATAACAGCAGATGCCAAAGAGCATCTCACTACAAGTCGCATAAAATGCAACGCTGTATTATGGCTGTTCAGAGGGCTTTGAAAACATGCACTGAGCTGCTTCTGCGCTGTTGTTGTCCTTATTTAAACAACAGCTCCCCTGTATTCCCCCATCTAGCCATTAATGAAGACCCAGAGGACGAAGACGAAGATGAAGACCAGGACTACAGCTTTCCTATATCTTCCATTCTAGAGTGGTAAAAGCTCCATCACTTATTGGAACAGCCATTGGGCACGAAATCAATGTCCATACTGTACATAAGTGTATGCCTATTTATTTTGGGGAGAAAAAAAAAGTATACATATAGTTGAGTCTCGTAGACATTTATTTATACTGTGTCATGTTTTATAATTTATACATAAAATGTCTGGTTGACTGTACACCTTGTTTTTTGAAGAAATTTATTCGTTACGGGAAGAGCAGTGTTATTTATTGTGAGGTCTCTTGCTTGTAAAGTAAAGCTTTTCTTTTTTCTTGCAAACTATAAAAGTCCATTCCTTAGAGCTTACCCACATGATCTCAGCTCTTTGTTTCACTGATGTTAACTCTTTTCCACTTTAACGAACTTGCATGTTGGTTTCTGTTATGTTTATTTATTGGATTTTCTTCTTGCCGGTTCTGTATGTAAAAGATCCTCGGGTTTTTGTTTACAAGGAATCTTGACTGACCAAAAGGCGTTGTAACTGATTTAAGTATACTTCCAGGGTGCAGTGAGGCAATCTTTAAGGAAACTTCTTCCACTTCACTTTTCTCTGCTTCTGATCACATCATGTACTGAAGTGATCTCAATGTTCTGAGCGTTTATACTGTACTATACGAATTCCAGACCCAAAGAAATCGGATTATGAAGGTTGTTAACTACAGGGCTAACTGTAATAAGAATAAAGGTTTTATTTTATTTTTATCGTTTGGGGGTTTTCTTGTTACATGCATAACTGTTTTATCAGGTGTTTCCTTTAAGATGGTCTTGCAGTACCACTTTCAAAGTTTTCTTTCCCAATCAGTGTGTCACTAAAAGTTATATCAAAGCTTTATCAGTTCAAGTTTCTTGCTTTTCATAATACTTTTTTTCTGATGCAATTTTATATTTTCAAACATGGCGAGTTAAATATAAATTCATTTAAATATATAGTTTTGTACTTTTCTACCATGTAAATGTGCAATGTATATAAAAGTTATAATGTGTATTTGTAAATAAATGATGAGTGAAAAAAAAAATAAAATGGAATTTTCCTTAGAGGCAGTCTTCAGTTTTGGTTCTGAAGGGTTCTTGCCCTCTTGTGCAAAGAAGACAGTATACTGGCGGTTAGGAGAAAAGAAGCTTGTGCATGGCTAGCAGCAAAGCACATTGGTTAAGGCCAAAGCTTTCAGCTGACATTGATTCAAGAAACCATTTTTTCAGACAGGAGCAATGTCTTCAGTTCATTGGCAGTAATTAAATCCAAGTACAGTGAGTGAGAAGAGATGCAGCATTTTTGTTTCCTTCTCCATCCGCTAAATAAACAGCCTGTCATTTCTTGGACATCTTTAACTTCCTTATTTCTAGGAGGTATTGAATATACATTTGAATTTTTGCTGAGTTTCAGATCCATGTTACTGAGGTTGTAGTTGTATCACCATTTTAGATGACCAATAGAAAAAGCAAAGTGGGTCCTACTTGCCCAAATTCAAGACATGTAACAAGCAGTGCAAAAAGAAAAAAAGCTCACCAAAGCCTTCAAAGAGCACATTATCATTTGGAAGTTCACAAACAGAAGGTTAATTCACAAGTTCTTTTTGGTGAACCAGTATTCAAACTGGACAAACTGGACCCACTTAAGAATGAATACTAATACAGTGAACTGAAGAAAGCTAGCAGCTGTAAGCACAGCAGGGACCAAAATCCTCTTTCACACTACCTGTGCTATGATGCTCTCCCAAATAAGGCCCCACTCCCCAAAATTTATCATACTAAATAAAAATGTACTTAAATACCTTATTCAGTGGTGTTTTAAGTGTTTTGCTGAACTAAGGTCTGAGAGCAGAAATTGACTTAGTTACTTACCCATTTTGTTTAAAGACAAATCATTTTTGAAGGCTGTTCATGCTGTAGTCTTCTGTGTATTTTTTACTGTAGAGTAAACACTAATTTGTTATGGATTGTTTAGCATTATCCAAAGCAAATATAATGTATTCCTCTATGCCTAAAATCTCAAGTGTGCATTTATAATATTGTATTCAAAATAATAGTAAAAAACATCTGCCGTTCATCCTCCTGTTGCTTCATTTAGACAAGCAGTCTCTTTGGAAGGAAGAACATGATGAGAGGACCAAAGGGAACAGGATTTTAGTCTCCTGAGGGAACAGAAACCAGAATAAAAGGTAACAGGGACTGGGAGGACAGTGGGATGGAAAAAGAACCTATCAGGAAATCTTCTAAGGAAATAATAAACCCATGACAATGACATAGAAACAAAATGTTTAATAGATATGGAGAGTATCAGAGGAGTTTTTTCTCAAAATCAGATACGTGCCAGCTACTTCATTTCCAACAAAATAACATTAAAATACTGGTTTTAATTGTAAATATATTTACATGTCTTACAGAGAGACTGTAGCAGAGCAGGATTTCTGGGTTCTAATTTGATGTCCTGCTGCTGGATCACAAAATAACTTTGAGAAAGTCACTGACAGCCAAATTTAAGGAAAGCAACAAAAATGCGAGGAAGCTATATTTGTGTGTGTACATGTATGCAAAACCACTGCAAAAGTCTACATCAAGATTTTTGCTGACAAAATGATCTGAAAGTTCCACTACTGTATTTCCCATTGCTACTCGTACTTCTATACAGCTGAGAATCTTGAAACCTACCTTGCATCAAAGCCTGCCTGTGATGTACAGGTGAGGCATCTCCTGACACACTTCATGAGGTAAGCATCTTCTGAGCAAGCCTAACATTCACCAGCCTTGTCAGGAAGCACAACAGCCCCAGAAACTTTCTCCCAGAAGCACGTCCAGAGGTTGTAGCAGCATGACTGCCAGCATTTTACGTAATACCTTACTTGTAGATAAGGTGCTTGTTCATGAAGTGGGAGATGCATGTTCACTGCCAGTCTCTTTCTGAGGAGATCTTTCCCACATGTCCCAAGAGTGCATCTGCCACCAACTCAAGGTGAAGCACAGGCTGGAGAACTGTCTGTCATGCATACTGAAGCCATACTTCTGTACTGGAGAGGAAGCCAGATTCATTGAAAGAGGATAATTTGCAACCCTAATAGGTGCTCCTTTTGAAGAGGAAGTCCTGGGTTCTTGCCCCGGGGGCTGCCTACACGTTTTGCATTTGTAATTGAGTAACATACATATATAGTGCTTGAAGCAGGGGCCAGAATCCAGGTTGCCTCCCCTCCTCCTTCCCCCAGTAGGTAAGCGCCTCCATCCTTGAGCTACAAAATCATGTTTAACTCTCTGCTTAAATCAAGATTACAAATCTCACATCTTTTTCTACACTGAGTCATACAGGACAGGCTTTACTTTTTTCATCCTTTCTTCTAGACTTGTACATGGGGAATTTCCTGGGAAGTGGAAATGTGAACTTAATTCCCTCGGTCTAAGGAAGGTGCTGAATCCATTTTTTCTACCTCTTGTCCTTTTGTACTGTTTTTGATTTGGTTTAGTTTTCTTCTTCTCTTGATGCACAGGCTATCCTGGATGTTGTTTAAATGATGACACAGAGACACCTGGATGTCTAAATACAAGAAGGTGGTTTCCAGTTCTGGATTGTACAAGCTCCTAAAACCAGATGATAAATACATTTTCAGAAATATCTTTCTCTTGAGTGTTTTCTGTTGTTTGGCATACATACTCCCTTTGCTGTAAATCATACTTCTGAAACTCCTAGTTCACCATGGAGTATACTTTGGTACTGAATCCCAGGCTTGCGAACGCCATTCACAAATGCAGGCACAGTAACACAGAGCGGAGCACATATGTTTATAAACAGAAACCCATATTTGGGCACGTAAGTAAAATCAGCTTAATTCTAAAAGACCCAGCTTGAATCATTCGAACCATAAGACTATTGCCTCTAAAGCCCTGGTTCCCAAATGTATTTGTCTTTGCAACAAATGCAAGCGAGTATATAGAATTTTGGTCACACTCAAATGCATTTGTGATAGCTGTGTTCATAAGATAGACATAAGAACAGTATCATGGACCTATTTTGCACCTTTTACCTCTTTACTTGCTTTCTGCCTGCTAATACACCTCAACTAAAACTACATTCCAAACCTCTCAGCAAATTTCAAACAGCTGCCATTTCTTTTTTTTTTTTATGACATAAAAATGTTTCCTTCTTTCCCTCCAAATGGGAATCAGGTGAAATTAAATTTCAGTATGCAGTGCTGTTCTCTAGGCAGTGACATTTTACTATACAATGAATCACCAGCACAGAAACATCTGTATCTTATCCCTTTGAAGAACTAGGATTCCATGCTTTCTGGTGAAGCGTAACATTTGTACATAGACCAAGGGGTTCACAAGGTATCAAATTTTAAATTCATAACTCCTTGAAGATAGGGAAATTACATTTTTTGTTTGATATTTCTGTAATTCCAAGGCCTGCCTGTCCCATTATGGCAGCATGAATTTTGCAGGTACTACATGAAAAACAGTACATACAAGTTAACTCTTTAATTATTAATTATTTTTTTTCCTCCCAGTAGACATAAATACATAATGGACCCTTGTGGCTGGATTTTGCTGACACTTATTTAGCATGATCTGTATAATTCACATTCATTCATTATTCCTAAACAATGTGGCAAATGAAATTATTACACAGTGGAGAAATATGACATGAAAACAAGGTGTGAGCCATAATATTCAGCTCAGAGAGTGATTTGGAGTTAAAACTACATCTGGCACATTTTCCTGTAACTTACAGGTATGTTCTTCTGATCTTATAATCTTTAAATGGATTCGTTCACCTTCACCATGGGATTGAAAAGCACTAATATGTCAGAAAACTGAGAAGGAACTCTGGACTTTGATAACAGTTATTCAGACCTCCCAGACACTACAGGATAATGGAATTTAGGTGATCTAGCATAGATGTAAATATGTAAAGGCCCCCAAATTTCCACCAGTGCCACTCCGTAATAGCATCCGAAACTTCCAGTGCTTCAGTGAGGTTTACAGATACTAAAAACTCCACAAAAGGAAACCACAGCACTCACATTCAAGAACTAAATTTTAGCCACTTGATTATAAAGACTTTTGAAAAATTTAAAAATTAATATTGGAACTATTTTTTCATAGTATGTTAGAGGTTCAGAGCAAAAGTAGCATTTTTTAAAAAATCATTCTTGTGTAGCACGGCTGTATGCAAAATGCCATTTTACATAAGAACAGTTGTAATACATTTCCCAAGATCTATTAGCAATTTGGAATGCTCTTATTCTGATAGCAGTGTTTGCATCGATCTTTTGCTGAGCTTCATGTTACGTACTTTATATTTTAAGTTTCAGTCACTTTGTATTTTAAGAGGCACTTGGAACTACAAGGACGATGTTGGTGGGTGGCTGTTGTCAGAAAACATTTAGAAGATACTAAAACGTGCTACCATTTGATTTCTGAATTAGAGGCATTGCTAAAAGAAGTCACAGGGCAAGACATGTAGATAAGCCAGATAGATAGGTAGTTGTGCAAGTCCTTAGACAATGTAGAAAAAGGTGGCACTGATGACAAGCAAGCCCAGCTAAGTCTTAGAAGCTGGAGCACCCAGCTTGCAAGAAGAGCTTGCAGAGGCAGAGTTGCTTCTGCCTGGAGAAGGGAAGGCTTTGGGGGCACCTCAGAGCTGCCTTTCCCACCTACAAGCAGATCATTGTGTAGATGGAGACAGGGTCTTTGTAGCAGTGCATGGTAGCAGGACAACAGGCCTAAGCTGAAAAACTAGAAGTTCCCATTGGGTATAAAGGAAACATTTTTCCCCATAAGGACGATCCAGCAGATCCTGACATCCCTACCAAGCTGCATTAGCCTGTGATCCTATGAAGAGGTATGTCTACCCACTTTTAAGAAAGTCTCCAAAATCAGAAAGGAATGTCCAGTTAAAAAGAAACAATCCCCTCAAGAAACATTGAAGGAACAGCTGTACACCAGAGCTGTTGGATGCAGTTGTCATCAGGAATATAAAATGTTCCTTCTCTAGAATGTCTTTCCCTCCCTGATTCTGAAGTGATCTAAAATTTCCCATT